AATGAATGAATGAATGAATGTTCAGTAGTTTTAATGCTTTCTATTGGGCTGTTTAGAACAGTGGCATATGTATGAATTCAGCTTGGCTTTTGTTTATTAAATTTAAGAATATTCTTGGATTAATATAACCATGGTTGGCTACAAAGTATTTGCAAATGCTACTTATTTCAAATCTTTTGCTGTTGTTAATCCATTGTATGTTTGCCTTTTGATGATTGCTAGTTCTGTGCTCCATTTTACATTGAGTCATTTGGGAGAAGCAGGGTATGCATATATGCAGAGATAGAGGGAAGACATTTGTCATAGTTGGGAGACGTCTTGACTATTTCAGATGAACATTTTTAAAATTTTGTTAAAAACAGCTTTGTCTCCTGCTTCAAAGCCAGTTCTTAAAGGGAATTTAACGTTTGCTTATTTCTCTTTTCAAATAAGTTTGGTGTTTTAACATACTTATAGAGCTTGCCTGCTTCTGTTCCTGACTGTTTTGGATGTATATTTCAATCAATCCACTTTAAACTTATTTCATAAATGATTATTGTGGGGAAAGAGGACTGTGTATGTTTGCCACCTTGAGTTACTTATAAAGTAATAAAGGATAAAAATGTGATTTGGGGCAGTTTCTCCCTCCCAACCTACTCACCTCACAGGATTTTGAGGGGAATATAGGAAGAGGAAGAAGTATTAGGTATGTTCGCCACCTTGAATTATTTATACATATAATAAAGGTGGATATAAATAAGTAAATAAATATAACTTCCAATCTCTGTCTTTATCTAAGTGCGGATGGACTTTAGGGAAAGAAAATATTAGAATACGTTTGGGAATTTAAAAAAATGTACTAATTTTACATAGCAGGATACTATCTTGTAATTGTAGAATTGTATAACTGAGGTGTAAACATGTATAACTGAGGTGTAAACATGTTATTTATAGGTGCTGTTAGTTAGCAGTAGTCGTCATCCTGACAGATGGATTGTCCCTGGAGGTGGAATGGAGCCTGAAGAGGAGCCTAGTGTGGCTGCTGTGCGGGAAGTTTGTGAAGAGGTATGTCTTCAGATCATGCTTGGATTGAAAGTTGTCTATTTCTATTCATTCCTTTCACTTTCAGAATTGTCCAAATATTAATTGTATAGTACAGGTGGTGCTCAACTTAACAACAGTTCATTTAATAAGTGTTCAAAGTTACAACGACACTGAAAAAAATGACTTATGACCATTTTTCATACTTATGACTGTTGCAGCATCCCCTTGGTCACATGACCAAAATTCAGATGTTTGGCATTGGTTCAGATTTTATGATGGTTGCAGTGTCTCGGAGTCATGTGATCACCTTTTGCAACCTTCTGAGAAGCAAAAGAATAGGAAAGTCAGATTCACTTAACCACCATGTTACTAACTTAATCACTGCAGTGATTCACTTAATTGTAGCAAGAAAGGTTGTAAAATGGGGCAAAGCTCACTTAACAACTGTCTTGTTTAACATCAGAAATTTGAGGCTCAGTTGTCGTCGTAAATTGAGGACTACCTATAATTAATTATATGCTTGTTAATGAGCAACAAAATTTGCTCATTGTTGTCCTGCAATGACTTGGCAGCGGCGAGTTGGCAAAGGGTGACCTGGCTGTGGCAAGGTGTCCAATTCTGCACTATACAGCATCTGGCAAATGAAAGAGTTTTCATATAAATGTTTAATGTCAGATCATGGAACCTGGCATATAAGATCATTCATTCATTCATTCATTCATTCATTCATTCGATTGTAAGACTGCCCATCTTTAAGAACACCTCAGGAAGCTCAGAACAACAGTAAAGCCCCCAAACCATAAAATCCTTAAAATCAGATAAGTGCTGGCAATCCCTATACTCTTTGCAGAAATACATTCAGCAAAGAGAGGTAGTGGAGAAATCACATTGAAGGCTCCCTGTTCTCCAAACTTGGAGGCAAGAACTGGCTTTAGAGTTCACTGAATGTTTAAGGAAGCACATCTATTTTTTAGAATAGACAGTACAAAATTGGGGGGGAAGGGGGCGCTCTGGACTGAAAAAAAGGAGTATTGAACTGGGGAAGTGCTGGGATTGGCATTACAGACCTCCACTTAAGTGAGAGACAAGAGCTAATGGTAGAGGATTCTGCCTACCCCCAAACCCCAAAGGATAATCCTAAACTTTATCCTTACCTAATTTAGGTGAAGCAGGATATAAGGGTGCACAGGAGTTAGAAAGTTTAATGGTTATATCTTGAAAGTTGGCTGATGACATTAAATGCTAGGTATACCTGTGAGAAATCTGTAATTCATGTTTTGAATGAGAAAATAGACCTGACATATAACGATCTGGACAGGTGAGAAGAGGAGGGTTCGCCTTTCAGAAATGTGCTCATCTGGGTTTTAGGTACTTCAGGCGCAGCCTTAAGGTAGAAAGGGTTGGTGGGGTGAGATTGTTATTGGTGACTTTGAAGATATCCAGAGGCACTGTTTCACCAATGATATGAGATCTTGTTTTGTGAGCTTGCACCTGAGAAACAAGGTAAGAGAATATAGATGATGCTACTTTACTAACCTTTCAAACTGTACAGCTTCAACTTCTACCTGCTCAATCTTTTCACAAGTTGGTACTAGATTTCTTTAGATTTTCAGTTCAAGCACATTTCAACTTAAACCTCTGGGGAGGGGAGAAATAGCTTGTGTGTTCATGGCCACCATGATACTTACTAGCTTGTTCAAAATGATCACAGCCCATATCCGCACAGATATCTGCATATTAGAGCTGTTTTTTTGTCTCAGAGCAAATCATATTGTAGATCACAATATTGACAATGAATATTTCTAAAAATTTCCAAACTTTCACCATTGTACAGTGTAAATTATATTATCACGGATTTATATATAGTTCTTAAAAATTTGTAAAACACATAATTTAAATTATAAATGTCTTTTAAAATAATTTGAGCTATGACTTATATTAAATGCCTTTTTCTTTTCTTTGAATATGTCATAGGCTGGAGTGAAAGGGACATTAGGAAGATTAGTAGGAATTTTTGAGGTAAGTACAAATATCACCAGAATTGATAAAACATTTTTATATGTGATTAAAGTTTAGAGATGTGTAGAGATTCTGTTAGGTTAGATTAGAAGATAAATGTTCTCTCATTTGAACCCTCTTCAAAGTGTAAGACAAAAATGCTTGAAGAAGTTTTATTTATATTTTAACTTACTAGTAGTATCTGAATCTCCTTGATTAAGAAATCAAGTCATAATTGAGCATTGCTGTTGGTGTGACATATTGTAAGTATCTTTTCAACTCAACGCTAAGATTATCATTGTTGTAGTTTTATATTTCTTCAAATTAACTTTAATGTTGATCATCCTTTCAGAACCAAGACAGGAAACACAGAACATATGTTTACGTACTTATTGTCACAGAAGTATTGGAAGATTGGGAGGATTCTGTGAATATCGGTAAGCAAGCATATTCATTTGTGTTCCTGATTCTCTTTAGGAGGATAATAGTTGAATCCCCCTATTTGGATTAAGGTTTGTAAAATGTGAGTTAAAAAATAAAAATCTTACTTGGAATATTTTTTGCAGTTGTTATGAAGCTTATTGTATTTTTGTTGCTTATATTTTCATAAAAATAGCAGATAAATATTCACATCTTGAAAATATGTGTTTTTAAAAACATGATAGTGCATAATTAGATCCTTTTTTCAGAATCGGTTGTGCACCTCTAACCTAGAGTTAACCAAACATTTTTGCAGTATGCCGAGCAACATGCATAAAATAGCTATTCTTGTTACCTTCCAGATCTTATTTTTTATTTGACTGTAACCTTCTAAGTATATGTTATGTTCTATATCCTTAATCTCATTTAGAATGAAGTTCATAAATGTTTAAGAATTTACGGGTGCTTAGTACCCTGAAGATATTTTGCTTTATACAGTAGTATACCTTTATTGTGAAACATTGAATAGTTTTTTTGCATTTTGAAAAGATAAACCTACTTAATGAGTTCATTATTTAATAGTAACAATCGACATACAGCTTGTTGTTGTGAAACAATTGCATATAGAGAGGATTGTAAATACTTCAGTTGTTGAGGTTTAATATTTTCCCCTCTTTATTTATCTGCAGGAAGGAAAAGGGAATGGTTTAAGATAGATGATGCCATAAAAGTTCTGCAGTATCACAAACCTGTACAGGCTTCATACTTTGAAACCTTAAGGCAAGGCTATTTGGCTAATAATGGCACTCCTGTTGTGACCACATCATTCTCGAAGGAGAGCACACTATCCGACATCAGATGACTGAAGATAACCCTATCAGAAAAGTTTGAAACATAGACTGAAACTTGGATTTCCTTTCTTCCCCTCTTCTCGCGGCTTTCACATGTGTTATTTGGTAAACAAGACATGTGCAGCAGCCTTTGGCAGAGCAGGTGTTTGAGTGTTGCATTATAGTGCAAAGTGGGTGGTTTGGGATTTTTTGTTTTTGCTTTTTCTTGGATATGTATTTTGTAATACACATTTTGTGCATGAAGTGCCCCTTCCCTATTAACAAAATTTTGACAATGTGAACAGCAAGGCTATTAGTTTCATCTATGCCTTGTCTTCTGAAATGTTCTTGTATATTATTCCAGCCATAGCCAAATCTCTTATCTTTTCAGTAAAGAAGGCTACAAATGTGAGATCAAGTCTTTATGTCTTAGATTTTGTACTGTAAGGTACTGTTGAGGTCTGTGTGGTGGCCACTTGCTCCACATCTGCACGTAACATTTTTTAGAGGGAGAAATCTAACACTGATTTTTGCAAGATTTTTTTTAAAAAAACACAAGCTACTTCTATAAAGAGGGCTTCATAAACTTGTCTGCCTTGTTCTTTAAAAGCATTTCTTTATGATAGTGCTAGTGGCTGGGCCAGTTTCATTCCCTGCATCCTGTTCCCTGACCCAAACTTAATACAATGAGACTTGAAGGAGACTTGCAAAGCATCCCTGGTGCTCAATTCTTTCCATAGTTTCAATCAGTATGTCATGTAACAATGGACAGAAGCACAAAGAATTGATCACTCTTCATTCTTCATTCTAAAGCATATGGGTTCAGAAGCTTAATGAATTCAAACTTCAGTAAATAGGAATCAGGGATTTGAAATGATTTTAAAAATGTGAACTGGAACATCAAGCATTAATGCTTTTAATAGTGTAAAATGATTTATCTTCCTGTTGCATACTGCTGGTGTCTTTTTTTTTTTGGTCCATATGCCTTACATCTTACTGAACTGGATATTGTAATTTGTGCTAGAGCATTGGATTGTACTTTGAGTGTCACCTCTTGGTGGGACAGTCACCTTATGTCCCTGAAAAGAATTCCCAGGGAAAAATTTCAAGTGTCTAGTCTCCTTTGTCTGTAATATTGTATCATGGAGCACACTCAAAATTGTAGACTTAATTTCTTAAGCAGCAAAGGTACAGCTAGTTCCCAAGTAGAATTGTTTGTATGGGGATCTGTGTCATTTAATAGGATAGTTAACCTGATGCATTGGCACACATCGCATTTTTATTTCTGTTGATGTTTCATACTGTCTTGATTTGCCAACAGTGTTGTCTTGTTTTTGGAAAGGGCTGTGGGAGGGGGTGGATCTGGGTAGATTTGGGGAGGGGCATTAGTTCATCCCTGGCTTGAGACAGGACCTAGTTGCTATATTTGGTGACTACTTCTTTGTCACAGTATAGCCAAGATGTGAAATTAAACCTGCAGTACTCCAGTTTAATAGATAATTCTTCCTTCCCCTTATATGCTTAAAATACATTAAAAATATTCTGAAATAGTTATGCAGCCTGATGAAAAGTAAATTAGTATAGTTTCTTCAATGGACAGTTGCTATAGAACCAATAATATTTCTTATTTTTTAATTCCCTACTTTCTGTTAATAGGATAGCATTCCTTAATATGGTATCACTGAAACCAAAAGCAATACACAGTACGTGCTGAAAGGTGCATTGAAAAAAGTGGCTTAAACTTGATCTCAAACAAATGAAAAATTATGTTATGCCACTTTATTGCCCTTCATTTTAACAAATAATAAAATTTAGCTGAATGAGCTTAACTAATGTCTTGAAGCGTACAATACAATAATAATTTATTTTACTAAGTATATGTGTGACACTTTCCACAATAGCAAACTATTGCCTTTAACTGAAGGTTTTGTGTCTCATTGAACTGATTAGAACACAGAGAATTGTTTGAAAGAGAACTGAGATTCCTGATGAAGTGACTGCAGTTTTAATATCTATAGCATGCACACTTTTTTAAAACTCTAAAATGTTTTTAGAGGGCTGTTAAACTGACACTTTAGAATAGAATATTGTTAATGATATTCTAATAGTGATTTCTTGTTTGTTTGGGCCAGGAAAAATAAATTGTGCCAAGAAAGTAGTTTAATGTGGGATGAATTGATGCTGTTTATACAACTGCACTGAGTTGCTGATGTTTGCCTTCTGAACTGGAAATGGAAGATGCGTCTCCTGGGGTATAAACTGTCTGGATTATTGGTAAACTCCTCCTGTTTACTAAAATTCACTATTTCACCTCCTTTCAATGCACTATATTCATACTTTCCCAGCATCTCAGGTACTCTGTAATAACGAGCCAAGAAACTAGTAATACAATGAAAATGCATTATATCAACTCACTTTTTCACACTTCTAATTACACTGGAAGGTCCCATATTGCCAGAACATGCATCAAGAAAGAGAATTTTCAAATACAGTTCATTCTAAGTAGGCAAGTTGGTCACCATATTGGACTTTAAACATCTTAATCCTTCAATGATTGCTGGATTTGTCCATTAAAATACAGATTGTTTTGGTCTTTATTTACAAAACTCTTAACTTTACATACGGAAATTAAGAATTGCTGGCAGTGACAATAAAATCATGTGAAAAGTCATTCTTTCCTATAAAAAGATTTAGTAATTATGTTTGGCCATCAGATGTTAAGGAGATTAGGTACTTTCTCCAAAGAAAGGTGTATTACTTATCTGTGGATTTTATTTTTATATATACATTTCTGGTCCTTCACAGTTTCAGAAGAAGCTCAACATTTGCAAGAATTTGTTGAACTTGCATATTTTTTGATTTAGACATTTGCCGGAACAGTGCAAGCAGTATTCTGGATTTGTAGTTATATACTGACCAATAGTTACTTATATGTTCAAATGAGATATCAATATTCTCATTAGATCAGTGGTTCTCAACCTTTTTAATGCCGCGACCCCAACCGGTCGTAAGTCGAGGACTAAACCGGTCGTAAGTCGAGGACTAAACCGGTCGTAAGTCGAGGACTAAACCGGTCGTAAGTCGAGGACTACCCAACCGGTCGTAAGTCGAGGACTTTCCCTGCCCGGGAGCGCCACGCATGCGTGGTTCCACCCCCTGCGCCGGCCGAGGCTTAGCTGGCAAGCAGCAGCGACGGAGCAGGCCGACCACCAGCTGGCCCAGCCCAAGGGAGGTAAGGCACCCGCCGGAAAAGGGGAAAAAAATGGCGGACAAAAAAAATGGCGGACAAAAAAATGGCGGACAGTCTTGCTTGGCGACCCCCGTGAAATGGTCGATCGACCCCAAATGGGGTCCCGACCCACAGGTTGAGAACCACTGCATTAGATGAAGACTGGATGGGCTTTTGCATTATGTGTGCTATATATTAGCCCTTATCAGGGTGGTACACTGGTGTAAACATAAATTGGAAATGGAACATTGGAGCATAAATGTAGCATCTATCTGCACCTTTTTAAAGAAATTGCATTTTTTTTGTGGGATCACATTGCTGTCCCCTACAGCTACCATGATCCTGGGGAAAGATGGGTCTACTTTAAAGAGCTGCAGACAGCTGCCATGTTCCTGGCCTTATGTGCTCTGAAGCATTCTTTAAAGAGTCAAATCTAAACCATTGCCTATCCCTACTTGCTAAATCAGGGTTTGACGGTGCTACTTACATTTGTTTGTGACAGTGAATTGGAACATAATATCTAGTGAAGTATGGTTACTTGGAAACAGTAACATTGTGAGTCAAAATGCACAACTTCTATTACAATTTCCTGTATGGGTTTTCTTTATTAGGAAGACAAAGGTTCAGTCTCTCTGCAGTTATATCTAATGTCCCATATCCTAAAAAAAACATTATTAAATACCTAATACATCCCTTCTCTGTTTTGATGTCTGCTTAGATTAGAAGGTGTGTAGGATATAGTGGTAGAATATGCAGTTGTATTTTAATATGAATTATCCTTTGAATTTAACCTTGAATCAGTTAGAATATCTGAAAATGGAGTGGTTGATCAACTTTGAAGAGTTTAGCCTAAAAGTATTCAATGATTTTAATAACAGCTTAACTTTTCTTCCCCTCAAAATATTATATTTGTCAACAGTATTCTTATTTTGTTCCTTTTCCAGTAAGCGTGTTTATTTGTTTTTAAATCTGCCAATAAAAAATAAAGTGCCGTATTAACTTTAGCTAATGCTTATGTAGGAACATGCAATTAGATATGTTAGCTATCTAATTTGCATTTGTGAAATTGTTCAGTTTATTTTGGAGGCACTTGAATTTATATGATTCCCATAAATGCCAATATTTCTTTTTCTCTACCCCTCTATGTTTTGCTGATATGATAGGCAGTGTATGCTGTAAAATGGATAAATGATGGATCTTTTTTCTTTCCCATTCAGGTTTGTGCTAGATTCTTAGACATTAGCTCAGATAATGGGGAGGGAGACTTTCCATGCCTTCTTTCTTTCTGTAGCTTGCTACCTCTGAGTGTACAGCATAAGAAGTATTGAAGAAAAGTGGTCTGGGGTATGCCTATAAATTAGAAGAACATTGAGGAAGTGTTTAGAGAGAAAATTGGACTTTAAATCCAATTTTAAGGAGGGAGGATCATTACTACAATTGAAATTAATATTTTGAACCTCTTGAAGTTCATACTTAAAATAAAAGCCTAGCAACTACATGCAATTGCTCGTAAGCAGTGAAATTCAAATTAGAGCATGTGTTAGTGAAAATTCTGGGAGTGTTTATGTGGTGGTGATTCATGATTTGCTTGTTTTCTAATGTTAAAACTACAATTGCTCCTGAATAGAGATAATATCAAACATTGTGCATATTTCTTAATGCTTGCTTGATTTTGTTTGTCATTATAGCTGTCCCCAGGTAGTGGGTATTGTTTTGGAAAGGGTGGGGAACTGAGAGTCAGTAGTGCTGTGGGACTATTTTGCACTGGAGGGGTATGTATGTATACTTCAAACCCTGTAATAAAGAAGCTGCTTTTGAGTACATTTTGCCACCTTTTGTGATAACAGATTTTATTAGAAACTATTTTCAATGGCATGAATGTTGAGTTCTTATAAAATGATGACATTTAGTATTTCATGCAAACATTTGAAAAGTATGCTAATGATTATTTAAAATCTTCTCTAATTTCACAGTCTTGTTAGAAAAACAGTTAGCCACTTTGGTAGGCATGTGTCTGAAGTATCTGATATGACTTATGAACGTTATCATCAAAATAGTTTCTCCATTTCAAAATTCTGGGGACATTTGATTCTACTTAACTGCTTATCTACGTCTGAATGTAGATATTACAAAGGCTGCTTTTCAGCTGAAATAGCGTATTACTGATCAAATTTGTAACTTTA